GGAAGGGGGGGCCGAATTCTCCCTTCCTCCACCTTTCTGTCCTATTCAGGTCTCCCTCAGTGGATTGGAGGAGGCTCACCCACATTAGCACTCTGCTCTACTGAGTCCACATTCAAATGCAAAAAACGAAAATCTCTTCTGCAAATACCCTCCCAGACACACCAGGATAACATTTAGCCAAATAATTGGGCGCCTCAGGGTCCAGTCAGGTCGACACATAAACCAACCGTCACGAATCTCTTCTTCCAAAACCCCACTGTGCCATCTCCTGTGCCTTCTGGGGTGCACACACCCTCTTCGAGGGCACCCAGGCTCTGACAACCATCTCCTCCTGGGGAAGCACAGAGAGGGAAAGGACCTTTCCACAGCACACAGAGCAGCAGGGACAGAGGGTCGTCAGCCCCCAAGTGAAAAGAATTTGGCCTCTGACTCTGGGGCCAAATCAGCCCTCACTGCCTCCCTTTCATCATTTATTCTCACTTGAGGACAAGGCACCATGAGACGTGCACGCGGACACAGAGGTGCATCAGCTGGACAGGTGATCAGGGATGGTGCTGGTCTCCACAAAGAGCGGCTGCCTAGCAGAGGGGACACGCATGGAGATTCGGGGTGGGCCAGGCTGTTCAGGCTGCACAGGGCACAGGCGTCCAGGGGCACCCCCAGCCCACTGTCAAGAGGGTGAAACATGGGGAGGTGGGGTCAGAGGAACACAGATAAAGATGACAGAAGACTTGTCATTAAAAGCAATGCCAGACAAAGGACAGTGGAACAGTATCTTTAACATACTGAAAAGAAAAAATACCATCAGTGCAGACTCTCAGCCCAGCAGAAGCATCTTTAAACCATGAAGGCAAAATGGAGACTTTTTCAGACACACAAGAACCGAAAGAATTCATCACCAACAGATTTGTGGGACATTTTAAAGCAGGTCCTTCAGGCAAAAGGAGGATGACACCAGAGAGAAGCTTGGATCCACTCAGAGAAATAAAAAGCACCAGAAATCATAAGTATGTGGGTAAACCCAAAATACTCTTTCTTATTATAATGTAGCTTTAAAATAGAATTTAATGTTTATAACGGAAATAATATTATATTGGGGTTATAACATATGTACAAATAAAATCTATGACTATGTGAACGGCAAACATATAAGATGGGAGAAGCCGAAGTACATACTGTTTGCTAAGGTTCTTACACTATATATGAGGTTGTACAATACCAGCTGAACACAGACAATGAATGATAAGGACCCATTAAAATAATAGTCACAGCTAATAAGAAAAGAGAGAAAGAAATTTAAGTGGAATAACAAAAATATTTAATTAACTGAAAATAGGCAGAAAAAGAGGAAAAAGAAAAGAACAGATGGACAGATGAGACAAACAGAAAACAGCACCATGGTAAATTAAAATCCAGCCACATCAATAATCACGTTAATTGTAAATGGTTTGAACAGCTCAACTAAAAGGAAGAGACTTGGAAACTGGATTAAAAGGCAAGATCCAATTGTATGTTGCTTACAAGAAATCCTTTAAATAAAAGGATGCAAATAATGTTAACAGTAAAATGATGGACAGCGATATAACAAGAGAATTAGATTCCCTGTATTACTATCAGACAAAGGAGACGGCAGAGTCAAATGTCTTACCTGGGGAAAAGAGAATCTTTTTTAAATAAGAGGAACAAAAGTTTCAATGTATCAAGAGGACACAATCCTAAACGCATATACACCCAGTAACAGATAAAACAAACACAAAGCAAAACCTGACAGAACTGCAAGAAGTCCCATCCACAGGTATAGCTGGAGACTCCAACACCATTCTCTCAGAAATTGATAAAATGACAAGAGGAAGTCAGCAAGGGCAGAGAAGACATGAAGGCAGCGATCAGCCAGCCTGATGTAACTGGCATTTATAAAACTCCATCCAGCAGCGACAGAACCTCTCCCTGGCTAACTCCTCCCAAATCTCCACGACTCCATCGGGCATTATCTCTACAGGCTGATCTCACCGACCTCGGGGCTGGGCCAGGCCGTGGGCACTATCACTGTTGTGGAATCATCTGGGGCTGACACAGTTACTCCTTTACCAGCCTCTGGGCACTCGGGGCAGGGTTACATCCCACCACATGGGTGTCCCGCCCAGGGCCCAGTGTGGCCCAGATGCTCCATAAGCATCTGCTGGATGGAGCCGGGGTCGGGGGGGGGGGAGGGGGGGACACCCAGCACGTGGGTGCAGAGAGAGCTGCCACAGGCTGTGCGCGCACTTCCCGGCAGGGTGACGCATCTGGTTTCCCTTGAGAGGGGGACATTCACTGACGTTCCTGTCTGTGGGCATTTCCCTGGCTCCGTGCTGTGGCACACAGCTGTGATTCAAGCCAGAAGCATCGTCCCCAGGGAGGGATGTCTGTGGAGATGTACTCACCCCAGCGCCCCAGGGGAGACCCCAGGCCCGGGAACAGACAACAGGATGAACACCACACATGGCACTTCGGATGTGA